TACTAACAGGTTTCTGTGCATTCTTCCTCCCTCTTGCATAAAAACTGGTTACTTTAACCAACCACCTGTTTTACATGTTCGACCGAAGACAGTAGAATTGATGCAGGGGTAGACCCCAATAGTACTCGAAGATCGTAAGGCCTAAGCAAAGGAACTCACCGTGGTGCATACATCATGGCCAGGGAAGCGAAGTAACCGCTGGTCAGAGCAAATATTATCGAACCGAGGAGGTAGACATAATCATTGGAAATCCACAAGGGCATTTGGCGCGTTTCTATGACAACGTAATTCGAGAAGAGGAAAAATGGCAGGAAGACAACGAGGCGAATGAGAACTGGGATCCAGAGAAATCTCGCAGCAGGCTGAAAGAGACAAACAATGAAATCGTGACAAATGATGCGACGGAAGCAAGGCTTTTTGAAATAAAAGATATCAGGAACAGGGACTTAAGTGGGGCCTTATCAGAGGTTATTCTTCCATCGCTCAATAAGTATTTTTGAGTCTACCGGAGTTCCACTGATTAACAATCGGTCAGGGATCACAGTTTGTTTGAAGTCAGTTGCTGTTCAACAACGTTTTTATGTGTTTGGAGGGGATTTGTGACATTTGACTACTAGGTGAGATACAGAATGTTACCAATCATAGATTGCCAATTTCCCTGGGTGCGATCAACGCAGCTATCTAAAATGACATTAAAGATAAGGACAGGGGGAATCTTAAATGACTCGCCATACGCAAATGCTAATGGCGAACAGGATGATAAGTGATTTATGCCTCGACAGTTATCCGCATTTTACAAATATGGGTTCTTAAGAAACAATCCGATGTTTCGAACCACTTCAGAATCACAAAGGCAGTGTCAATTCCATGCTTGAGCATGGCATCATCCGACAGCTGTTGGAAAGAAGACAACCAGAAATCTGGGGCTCCCTGGAGTTAACCAAAGCCAGTCGGCATATCCAGTAGTTTCTCAAGGGTCGTTCATTCATTGTGGTGAGGGAACACAAGCTGCCCTGAAAGCAACCGCGATAGATACTAACCTAGTGAGATTCGTCACTTTCCAGTTTTCCTGCGACATCAAGACTTTCCACAGTAAGTACAACGTGGTGGCTGTTGCCTTATCACGAATCGGAATGGGCGCTGTTAAGACACTCTTAGCCTCTTTCAGGTTTATATCTGACGCTTAAAGGCCCGAAAACGAACCGCCTAAATTCCCTCAAGAGGTCTCTCCCTCCTTCATGCGTCTCCCACGCTACCAATATTGGCATCAACACCTATGATCCTGCAACGATGCTATGACAGGTGTTTGACGCTATTCACAGTTCATGAGCCCATGACATACCGACGCTAGGACAGACCTGTGGAGGGCCGGCAGGACGTGATACAAGGGCCGCCCCCCCCCTCCACACTTGATTAAGGTGAGCTTGCGACAAGTCACGGAAAAGGTAAATGTGGCCGTGTCCTCGGTCTGACAGAAACCCTAACCCTAAGCCAAACCTTCACCTTAACTCCAATCGCTCTGGTGATTAACGCAAGGCCCAGAAAATTGGGGCTCCAATTCCCTTGTTTAACCGGAATGGAATTATTGATGGTCTGCCTGTTGGCATTGCCAATAAACTTTTAAGGCCCAAAGTAAGTGCTACTAATGTGGGTGATATTCCATCAGCACCAACGACAATGGTCAAACCGTTGCCACTTCTACTCCGTTACAAACCCATACTTGGAGTCCAGATGGCTTTTGTTAACTATTAAAGCCACAGCGGCAGCTAGAATACGGCAACTGCTAGACAAAATGGTTTTCTTGGCAAACTATGGATAAATTACCGGAAGTGTCAATGACTGTACCATGGCAACGGGAGCGGCCGTCGGTACTGCCTGCTAAGCTGGCACGCAAACGGTTTGAGGCTATAGAAAGTGCATTGATAGTATGCTGATCAAGACCCCAGATAGTCAGAAAATAAATAGACGTGGACTTAAGTTTTCTCATGCCTGGAAGCTGTGCTTATCAGTTATTAGAATGCTAAAACTTTTGAGCGTATGTGTTCCGACCCTCGAAAGTGTCTCCAATTAATTCAGCCGGCCCAAAATTGACCCGTTTCGCGGCCACATGCTATAAAATAACCATTCTTCCTCTCCCACTTAGGCAGGTATAATGGGATCTGCATTCGTCTTGCCACATTGTTCTGCTACATCTTGCTACCTTCACTGCTTCGTTGCTAAATCTTTCCCATACCCACTCCCTCCCCCATAAGCTCCTGCTTACCAAACAGACCACCGCCTACCACAGCCTCCAATTGCGACGACTGGAAGGACATTAGACGCCCAGGAGGCTGACGACTGTATTGATTGTGGTATCCTTGCCATATGACAAGGTAGCTAGACCAGCTACAAGCAGCATTTCGCAAAGAGTGGAAACTTAATCCCTTGGTGAGTGAACCAACAGATGCTCACCTAGATTTGCGCAATATGTTCTCTTTGTAATGTTTTAAACAAGACAAATTCAGTCGGGATTATCACGAGATGAAGTGAGCGGAACGCAAAAATAAGGTATTTCTGCAGATGGTCAGTTTGCAGAGTCTTAACGGCTGCCGGAATGGATGCAAAACCTTGGGTTTATGGAGGAATCATTAAAATAAGATACCTGGATGCAGTTGATTAACACAAGCTGGGCGGGGGGAGCAAATAATCAAAGATCTAATTGTTCACTTGCAGTTATACGAAAATTCCCAAAGGGCTGAGCTGTGAGTTTGTTACGAAAATCTGGGTCCTCTAAAGATTCCAGGATGATTTTATATGGCGGGAAGGAAGTTCTTTAATAAGAGTAGGATTCATGGAAGAATGAGTGAACTTTAAACGCAAGGTTGGCCTGAAAAGTTCTGAAGTACTCACGAAAGTGAAGAAGGCGCTGAGGACACACCCGAGCATCGCGAACAGGTTGAAGAAGAGGAAGCAGGTAATATCAGTGAACCAGGTGTCTGATAAATAGATGGAAAAGAAAACGTTTGGAAAATCAGATAAGGTAATATGTTGTCCGTGGAAGAAAATGCAAGGAAGTACAGTGGGATTATAGTGTTTCTATGTCCTATTCCTTATCTGGAGAAACCTACGTCACTTAATGTTCATGCTCTAGATGACTGTGATAAAGGCTCCAGTCATATAAAAGATGTAGCACCACTTTATGGTAAGCGTTTATCAGTGCGGGATGAGGTTAGTTTACAATCACCGAAAACTGCAGATTACAAGAAATTTACTTTTTCTTCTGTCAAAGTTCAGCTGGAGGAGGAGGAGGGGGGACATAAAGCCACTTTATTCCGAGCAGTCAAGTCAAATGTACTGACATTTAACGATGTATGCATTCCGCTGTAAAGTCCATATTAATTTTAAAAACATCCGGTGGGAGAAACCGGGCCGCAAGTGCCTTATTTATTTCTAAATGCAGCCGAGGTGCATGATCAGAGCTCCTCTGTGGACTTGACTCCAAGATTACCTGTTCGGCCGCGATTAAATGTTTCCTTCGGGTTTATCGCTGTCCGCCGGACAAAGTGCACTCAAAACCGGAAATTTCACATGCATTCTCACGATCCAAGATGAGCTGGGACTGTAAAGTTTGAAAACTGGCATAACAGCCGGGTCCTTCTGAAGACTAATGATCAGGTTGCATTAATTCCTTCTTACTGTGACGTTATGGTACCTGCTAGTCTTATTGCAACCGAAATATTGAAGTCTGGCTCAGGTGCTTACAGGCACAGAAAGTACGACCATCGCAAACGTTGCAATCAACTACTGCTCCACAAGGTGACCCAGTCATGAATTGCGCATGAACTCCTTTATTGTAAGATAGAGATGTCTTGCACCTGAATCAAACCTTCGTCCGAATAGCCACCGAGTTACGGTGGCAAGACAATGTTAGGACTGAAGGTGAGCTGACGGAGTTAAGCAGCGAATAATTGCGGGTCACACATGCGTGTCTGGGCCATGACTCCACACATGCCGGCTTTCATCCAGACGGGTGGGTAGGCTTCCACGTAAGTGAAATTACCATAAAATGTCACATTAATAACGAGCAGTTTCAGCTAATCCTCAGTTCTGAGGCGAACAGAATTATGGTGTAGGAGCCAATTCTCTAAACTACAACTACTGACTACTTACGATCGTTTTTTCATAGTCAGGGAATGAAAGCTTGATCCGAGTTGGATAGACCTCAGTCCCTCTTCCCTATTTAAAACGCTAATGGGTTGTCTGGGCTAAAGTGATTGTAGATTGGACTGAATGTCGTTTGAAAGTGTTCATGTATATGTAATAAATGCACTGATCTGTCATCTCACATTACTAGGCTTCATTCAAAGGCAGAAGTGAGAAGTGTACCTCTTTCAGAGCGACATCTTTCCGTCCTTAAGACGTTGAAAAACTGCACCGCATGACTGTTTGATGAACGACCAGCGATGCCTCTGACGGTTACAAGCTTGAACTAAGTTTGTTCATTTGTATACCTAAGAGGATGCAAGAAGGCCTGATCGTGGTTTCACGAATAACCCATGCAGGGTTTGAAGGTCCTAGGACAGTAAGGACAGGTAATGCGTTCGGGAGGGGTATCAGCTGAGGCTCCAAACACTGTTTCTCTAGCCATGCTCTGATGGATGAGCAGGAGACCGACCTAACCGATGCGTGACTATAATCTGTAGAAATGCTGGCACTGTAAAATTGCTGGTAACAGTGGCGGCGTTCCTATGAATAAATCCGGCCAGAGCAAGCCAGGAGATGGACGCGGGACTACAATGAGGACAAGTAAGAGGGGCAGAGTCATGGCTACGTTCCGCATTGTCCTCCGGTATCCGGATGGTTTCCAAGATTGCTGCTGCAGTTTCCAGGGTAGTGCGCCACGCCTGACGATCCGGCTTAGATATTATGCTCGATTTACAAGTGCTTTAGAGGTCCTCCGGTGTCATTATCTTGTCATTTTTGTCGTCGTAGTCTGCGGATATCTACTATGACATATCCGTAGTATAGTCGACTAGGTAGGGATATGAGAGCCATCCTTATCAGGTTGCCCCTTCTTCGCAGTTCAATCTGCTCCAGAATAACTTGAATGCTGAGCACGAACGTACCTTCCAGTACTGAGGGTCTATATTCCTCTTGAAGCTTTAATATCCTTCGGAGGCTATTGAGACGAAAGAACTTCAGTTACCTGTCGGATGGACCGTCCCGTACGCCCTTCGGTTCGGAGGCCGTTGCCTGTAATGTGCACATACACAGCAGGCCAGAAAAGGGGTCCATGCCCATCTCCGGTTATAAGGGTTCCGCTTTACAGTCGGAACCTCGGGCACGTAAGAAGAGAGTGAAGCAGATGCCATGAACATTACCCCCACCCCACCACCGCCAGTCAGTCCTTGGATAAATCAGACATAGGCCCGTGATAGGCGGGTTACCGAACGAAAACGTATAAAAGAAAATCTTATACCAATCGAAAAGAGGTTTACCATTCCAGTCCGAGACCGGAGAAGACAAAAAAAATTATGCCCAGGAAGTACCTGAAATAAAGAAATCCGGGTCGACAGCCCTGATGTTAGACTGAATAGCCGGAAAGATGGACAGCGTGCATACGAAGACAAGCCAGACGTTGAGGCACTGCGGCCAGCACTCCTTGAATGTCTCCAAGTAACGACCCCAGTAGGTCGCGCAGCGAGCCTTCATGGCACCCTGAGGGAGGACAAAGTCGACTTTAGATGCGACATTACTGCTTTAGAGGAAAAGTACTTCGACGGTTTCTAGTGTATGGTATATGGCGCGACTCATTAAACATTATGACAGAAAGTAAGATGAACGTTTTGGCACAAATAAAACATTGTACCTTTTACCTATTCGTCTAACCTCCGGACAAAATTTTTTTTCATGCAGCACGTGACCTTATGCGAACTTTTATGCCCCTGACACCTCTGTCAACGAAATCAAACAAAACCCTTTTCATGTTTAGTGAATATTCCGATGTTAAACTAGAAGAGTAAATTTAGCAAACACGTGTTTTCAGCCGAAAATACCAGTTTGCCTTATTGAATTTAAAACGCCCATGTTACTTAAATCAAGCATATTTTGAACAAATAGCAAAACGAAAAAAGTTAAATTGCATTTTTAGGAAACAGACTTGGAACCTGCAGTCAAAATTAAACGCTCAGTTATGCATTAAACCTAAAAAACGACGACAGTATTTGACGTTATCGCGTTATTGCTGGCATCTTTAATCAATTGTTAGTAAAGACATGTTGTAAGGGGTGTCCCGAACTTCTTTACATCCTAATAACGCATTCGCAGTCTCTAAAGTAACATGTATTTCACAATTTATTTTACAGGAAATTTTCCTTTGACCGCTAGGATAGACTCAAGCCTAATTGAGATGGACTAAATGAGATTCTGAAGGATTTCCAAAGGAGTTCCTTTTCCAGGCGTCCAGCAGGGATCTCTCCAATCCAGCAATATTAGTAGTAGTAGGCAGTCTCTCATCAAATTTACTACCGAGAATTGACCATAACTTTTAAATTGATTCAAGTCAGGACTATTTGTTGGCCACATGTTTTTTCTCCAGAAATGTGGAATTTTCTCTGACAGCAACCTCAGTGACTCCAGGGCTGTCTGAGCTGTGGCTCCGTCTTGCATAAACGTAATCATTGAGATGTCCGGAACAATTTTATTCCCAAATTTTGACCTGCTCACACGATTTATTTCCAAACTTTTAAGCAGGTTTTGCTTAAGGAAATCCCCTCTGTAATATCCACCATCCACTCGTTGACCCTGCGGTACAATGTGGAGATCAGAGAGCCCAACAAAGGACCCTACTACCACATCATGACTGTAGGGCGAGACCTTGGAACTTAAACATTCTCAAACATGTTAAGACTAGGAGCTCCAATAAGGTCATTTCTTGCATTTACTGGATGGAAAATTTAAGACGGCGATTTATCGGAGATGACTTGTTTCCAGTTTTCTGCAGTCTACCTCCTGACCATCTTACAGAAGGTCATCCTATCTTTGATATGTTTTTCTGTTAGTCTTGGAATTATCCATCTGTGGGAGGTTGTAACACCCAAACTTTCATGCAAACACCGGTGCACACTGGACTTACAATCCTTCAGGCCTTTATTTGTGAGGTGTCTTGGGCTCCTCTTTGGTTTAAAATAGATTTTGCAAAAACGACCTTTCTAATTCTTCCCAAAATATGTGATTTTACACAGTTCTTCCGCTTTGTGAGGGTACCTGTCCGCTTGTGTTGTGACAACCAATACTTGACAGTCCTGATAGATACACATATAGCTTTAGCAACCTCCACTCGCTTCTTCCCGGTTTCTATCAGACCTATAGTTCGACCTCTGTCCTGTGAGCTTGGCACCATCAAGATCCCACTGATTTTTACAGGTTGAGTTTTCTATTATATCTGTATAGCACAGAAATAATTGTGCATGAATCTTGTTTACAAATGAATCACCAACCAAGGAGGTTGAAGAATACATAAACATTATAAACATCATAAACATTTATTTTAAAGAAAGTATATAACTTTTAGAAGGGGCATCTAGTTTTGGGAAACGTATAAATATACTTTAAAAACTCGAGTCTGCATAGTTGACACACATTTTTACATTCTCGGCACTTAGGTTTACCTATAAAAAAACGTTATTTGTACCAAATTGTATTTCGGCAGCAATTCATCGTGGGGCCGCCAAATTCCAAACCCGCCCTGCCCAAGTTTCTTACAGAAATCGTGGTTAAAGGTTTAATGCTTGATTAAGGGATAGATAATGCGTGTTTATTGCGTGGAAAGTGAGCAGTAGAAAATAGATTAAAGCTGCTTATAATTATTTTACTCAACTAAATTTATATGTGAAAAAGGTCAGAAAACAATAAAGTCGATCAACGTAAACTCCTATTAATCAGCAAACGATGCCTATTGACCAATACAAATATTTGGTTAACTCCTATTGGTTGACATAGTTAAGGAAGTGGTCTAGTAGGCCGAAATTCGACCTAGTGAAAAATTGCAAGTAAGTGGTTATTGTCAATACAAACCTCCAAAGGGCCTCTCTACGGCTCTCTGCCAGTATTACAATTATTTACCTTACGTGCTCATTTATCTGGAGGATTTTTGTTATTATTTTTGTGTTTTGGTAAATGCATTTAAGTTTTAACCTTACGCTACCATAACCCTCGCACTGAGCCTTACGCTAATCTGCCTGGAATTTAGCGCAAGGTCATCGCAATGCCTTTAATCACGTGTTCTACCGGTGTCAGCCCAGGTTTCACGCTTTTTGGCCCAGCCTGTTTGTTCCTAAACAAAAGCCTCTTTAATTAGCCTACACGAACTCTAGTTGTCTGAACAGCGAATAAAGTCTTAAAGGGCATCCACAGTGGAGGACGCCCATATTCGAAACCAACAGACAGTGGGGATGCAGCGCCTTAAGAGCGTATACGTCTTCCGCCTTTAGCGCCAGCCACGCACCAAAGGTCATGTGATCACAGTTTACGAGCTACCG